CCTCCTGCTTCCCTCTTATAAGGACCTGTGTGTTACATTGGAACTGCCCAGATAATCCAGGATAATCTCCCCATTCCAAGATCCTCAATCACACTTACAAGCTCTACATGCAAAATATATTCACCCCTCCTCAACATTCGAATAGTCTCAACCCTTCATACCACCATACCAGGAGATTTGGGATGGGCCATGTAATTCCCTGAAAATAGACTTTTGACCCCACTAGTTGTCATCAACTCCTGTTACTGAAAGGAATCTTGCACTGTCCTGTTCTTTCCTGGGGCCCTGGTACCTGCAGTCTTAGAATTTGCTGCCAGTTTCGACGGTGAAAAATTGCTTCAAAACAAGAGCCAATCTGTAGCCTCTAGTCACTCAGGAGTCTCACATAGATTTTGTTTTGTTATTCTTTGATGGTCACTAGAATTTAAGTTTCCTTCTCGTTTCTGTAGTCTCTCTAGCATTGATTTCAGAAAGAAGCCAGCAGCCTGTGCTAGTTCACCATCTTGACAGAAACTGGAGGCCACAGGGGAAATGAGCATGAAAATGGTCCTGAAGCTAAGTGAGCAGTAACCACAGGAACAGAAACGGAGTCGAATAAGCAGAAGGAACTTCAGCTTATCCATCCAAAGGCACATCAGTAGGAGGGTGTACAAACACAAAATGAGAAAATACAGTAAACAGAAAGGCTTGAAAATAACAGAGAAGATATCTAGTGTAACAGTAATAAAAATTCCTCAGTAAATAAAATATTGAGACTCACAGATTGGATTTTTGAAAAAGACCCACAGCATAGTGTCTATAAAAGACTATCAAAACAAAAGATGCCCAAAATGTTTTTTCAAAAAAAGTTGGAAAAATGTTTGGACAAATTTGAACCAAAAAAAAATTAGTCTATCAATCTTGATCTATGGCAAAACGGAACTGAAAGCAAAAAATAAAGTGATAAGAAACGGTGGTAGATAGAAATCTTAAAAAAAAAAAAAAAAAAAAAAACCAAGATATCCCCTCAGGGATACACACTCTGTATAATCTCCTCCCCTTGATTGTGGGTGGGACATAGAAATATAACGGAATGTCATTGCTGGGATTAGGTTAGGTTATAGAGCACAGGTGACACTATTTCGTAGATGTAATTCAAGTCTCCAATCCGTTGCTCTGAGAAAATATAAAGGCATATTTCCCTGCATGGACCTTACCTAACCAGTGAGTCCTTAAAGGAGAATCTAGAGAAGAGTTCTACTTTCAGGATGACAGAGTGGGGAACTCCATGGACCCATTCACCCAAGAAAATGCAGGAAACCCAGACTATGAAAAACAATCTTGAAAAAGAACAAAGTTGGAAGACTCATACTTTCCAGTCTCAAAACTTACTATAAAGCTACAGTCATCAAAATGGTATGGTACCAACATAAGGTTATATAGAGAGATCAATGGAATAGAATTGAGAATCCTAAAGTAAACTCATATGAGCTTGGAAGAGGACCCCAAGCCTCAGACGAGTCCACAGTCTTGACTGACGACTTGATTTCAGCTTTATGAGACTCTGCTCACAGGACCCAGATGAGTCTGACCCACAGAAACTGAGAAACTCAAATAATAAATAGATGTTTTAATCTTCTAATGTTGTGGATATTTGTTATATAGCATAGAAAACTAATACAGGAACAAAAATAAACAAAGGAAAAAATAGGACAAGAAAATACAGTCATCAAAACATTTATATATCATCATTGCCGTCTAACAAATATCTAGCAAAAAATAAGAGAACTGTAGAAAAAAAAAGATAAGTGACCAACATTTTATTTGATAGTTCTGAAGCCAAAAATGTTTAAGTCCAGAAGACAAAAAATAAGCAGAGAGGAAAAGACTTCAAGAGTACTCTAAAAATGTTTAGTATAAAATGCCACGCCCCACATTAAAAATTATAAAATTAAGGATTTTTGATCCACAGAAGACATAAGAAGTCAATAGATAAATGACAGTGTAGACAAGGACATTGGCCATGTCTGAATTAATACGTAGAACAGAAAATCAGTGTGAAGATAAACCTCATAGCCAATAGAACGTCCTGTGTTTCTCAAAATCTGTTTTGAAGGACCAGCCTTTTTTGGCATTTCCAATCAATTACAGACTGTATTTTTAAAATATAGAAAATATAAAATATATTTTATATTTTAAAATAAATTTTAAAATATAGAACTAATTTGAGGTTATGTATGATTTAGACGGCATTTTAGATTTTTCTAGCAATGCACAGGATGTAAGCCTGGGACATGTCTGCGTAAAATATAGACCATTGCAGAGATAATGGGTATCATCACTTAAAAAGCAGCAGAACTCTTCAAGTGGGGTGCTGCCAGGAGGCTGGAAGAGGAATGGGAGGAGGCCATTCAGGGTCTGTGGAGCTCAGAGAGCAGATGGGGCAAAAGATCAGTATGGCATGGCTGGAGACCAGACAAGGGGTTCTTCATGACAGATAGATTTGTTGCTTTGATCTGCTGATTGCATTCCTGGGCTGACAGGAGAAAGGAAATAAATAATAGCAGATTTATAGTGGGTGATTTTGTTTTGAAAAAAGTAACATTTGGGAAACATCAGAAAAAGGAGATAAGTGGCAGTTGCAAGTGTTCCTAAGCCTTTGATTTGTTCTTTACTGAATGCCTGTGGGTCCGTGTGGTTGGAAACTCAAGAGTTAGAAGGGCAGTTGGTGATATGGGTAGTGGACTCGTTTGACCCTGAGTTCAATTTCAGAAAATCCCAGTAATTAACCACAAGAGTAGCTCAGTGCCCTAATATGAAGATGGGGAAGGGGCTGTGGTGAGGGTTAAAGGAGATGATTTCAGTGACACATATTTTACAGTGTCAGGTGTGTGGGGACATAGCTCTCCTGTCTTTCTCTTCAGACTCCCTCACTCCACTGCTGAGGTTTCAATTAAGTCCTAATTTTAGGAGGGGTCTCAGCAAACGCATTCCAAAGAGCCCTGCTGCTTCAAAACATGTCACCCGATAAGATGTAGAAAACATTCGGAGTTTGACAGAGATCTAGAATTTAGAAATATATGTCAATTTTGTGTACTATAACTTTCAAATAAATTTTTACTTCCTACTTATTCAGGCCACTTAATGACTGAGCCAAATCCAGAGAGATTTCTCCAGGACACAAGACAGACTCGTGGATTCTTCTGGCTGATCTTGGATATTGACACATTATTCAAAACTGTGCTAATTTGAGGTCATGATATAACTAACAAGAGTGGCAGGCACAAAATTTACTAACCCTATCAAAGCTGCTTCCGTAGCTCATGACTACTAGACACCATCAACTCAGTGAAATCTGCAATGGGGCCATGTTTTTAATTTCTGTGAGAGCCGGAACTAAAGAATACAGGCCATGGACAAAATACTAAACTGCAGTAAACACGATTTCTAAAATGTTGGAGTACCTTAAAGAACCACTTCACAGCCATGGCCTCAAGCACTGAACACCTGAGGACTTCATGTATTTCCGCTTTAGGCCCAAATTTTCTGTTGCTCTACAAATAGTGGTGATGCTTGATCCCTAAGAGAAATATAAAATGAAACCAGTGGGATTTTGTGTGGCTCAAGGTAGAAAACAACTGGCATATTGTGAAAAAGAGCAGGATGCCAGGCCTTCCTTGTGAACTTGGAATTGAAGGTAAAGGTGCCTCCATCAGTGAGCAATGCTGACCAGAGCTCAGGGAGGGTGTGGTTGTGCTTGTCCGGAACAGTAGGCCTGGGGTCCATAAACAAGGGCTCCACCCCTCCCCACCTAAGTGCTCTCAAATCCAAGGGCCAGCAACAGATTGGTTTTGCTAACCATGCAGACACACCTTTGGTAATATAAATATATCCTATCAAATTTTGGAAGCATGTTGCACACAAATCCTGCACAGAAATTGGCTAAAGGACGAAAGCTGCCCCATCTTTTTGCCATGACAGTTGGAGCTACCCAAAGCTGTTTCTGAAAATTCTGTCCCATAAGCCCTTATGGCAAATTCATGCAAATGAGCCAGCCAGGAAAAAGGCAGACTTCTTACCAAGAAATATTCATTCAAATCACCCCCCAAACCAAGGATGGAGGAGTAAAGACTCCCTAGCCCTTCTGTTCAGAAAGACTCCTCCAGAAACTGTTGCACTGTCTCTTTGTCCAACGCATGTCCGCCCACCACACGATCCCCTCATCTCTCTGCCCCTCCAAGGTTGATCCCCCACCAAGACCCCAGCAGAGAGGCGTGCTCATCAGGATGGGTGTCTGTCACCACAGTGCTTCTCCCAGGGGCAGTGAGGGATGCTGACAGCTATGAAGCCCTGGCTGGGTCCTAGATGGGTAACACAGGTATCAGGATCAGGTGGGGGCATGCAGACTGGAGCTGCCATCTTCTGAGCCCTGGAGAAGACATCGTTGTGATTCATGCAGCCCTCGGTGTCTGCAGAGGGCAGAACCTCCTGTCAGCTTCAGTGACCTCCTCTGACCCCTGGGTCTGGGCCTGATCCCTCTGCTGAAGAGCCACACACTGTGAGCCTGTCCCTGAGATGGAAACAGAGGGGACACATGTGGCTAACAAAATGTTCTGCATTCTTTTGAGTAGATAGATGAGAGTATAGAGAAACTGGAGAAGGAAGAAAGGAAGGAAGGAAGGAAGGAAGAGAGGGAGGGAGGGAGGGAATAGAAGAATTAATGGATGGACGAATGAGCACACAAACCAACTGGTGGGAACCTTACAGTAACTGCCTCAAATCAACCAGGAAGTTTGATTTATTTAACACTCTACACCTGCAACCAAAGTAATAATGATGATAATAAATTCGCCATTGCTTATCAATGGCTTATAAACAATATAGGAGAGAGAAAACTGCTCAGGGACTCAGAAAGTGCTTTGAAATGCCTTTAATTCTGCCAGGCTGCACAGATCTAGGACTACAGACTGTCACACTCTGGAGGAAGAGGGGACTTCTGCTGCAAAAAACCATAGGCTCTGTCACCACCTTCTCTCCACACAGGTGCTGTTCAGGAGGGTGAACTGGGAAAACCAAGATCGAACATCTACTATAAAAGTGCAACGCACCTGAAAAAAAAAATTGTAAGACTCAAATTAGAAAATGTAAGCATTGAGAGCATCTAGCATGCAATAGGGTGTTAAGATGTATTAAACAATACAAAAATAAATCAATAAAAAGCAAAAACAGTCACCCAGGAACAGGGCTTGAAATGCCTAAGGCTCCACCAGGACAACGGGCACAGGTGGTTTAATCCTCCCACCTGAGCCTGAGGATTTCCGAAGGGATGCCTGGTTGAGTCATCATCTGACCCCTGAAACATCCTGTCCACTCACAGCCTCCAAAGAGCATATGAGGGTGGATAAGCTGCCCCCACCCTGTGTGTTCTGGGGGAAACCATGGGCTTACTAAAGGGATGGCCCTGCCAGTCACCCACCAACTGAACAGCAGCTGCAAACCTACCCCAAAGGGAGGCTGCCCATGAGGCTGGGGGTTGGAGGGTGAGATCAGCCCCACTGATCCTGTAACTCTGATTCAGGGCATCCTCAAGCTCCAGGATCCCATCGATCACGTGTGGGTCATGGAAGGATGGTGTCAGAACTCAGACTGACCAGGACACATCCTTACCACGCAGGAACTAGAGGGACAGGTTGGGTGACGAGAGAAACTAGACAGTCCTCCAGTCCCCAAGAACATGAGCAAAAGAAGAGTGAGGGCCACAGGGAGAACACTGTCCGCCTGGATCTTGAGGGTCTCAGGAAGGTACAGGGCTGGGACCCAAAGTGAGGGCTCCATCCAGAGACGTAGGCCTTGCGGAATCTGCAGGTACCTGTGTCCAGCCAGCTGGGCTGTGGGCTGAGGGCTCTCCCTGACATTGAGGGCCAAGCTCTGTCTGTCAAATAAATGCCTGCCTTCTGCCTTCACTAAGGGAGCCCTGACACCAGGTGGGAGAGGGCCAGGGACCCTCATTCTGCCCTAGGATCACCCCAGATGCCTTTCCTAAGCCTCCCCCCAAAGGCCTGCTTTGACATTATTTTTTATTCCTGAGAGATTCATGATTTGGGTTCATTTTATTCTCAAACCATTTTCTCTCCTGTGCCTTCTTGCAATGGGCAATTGTCAATGTCTTCATCATGTTTCTTACAAACTGTACGCCCCATCTCCAAGTCCATTAAATATATCAACGTCCATCTCTGTCAAGAAGAAATTGGAATGAGAAAAACAAAGAGAATCAAATAGAAAAGTTGCCAGAAGAGGTGAATGTTAATATTATGCAAATAAAGATATACATATCCTGTGCAATCTTTCTTCTCTTATTTTTTATTTCAAGTTTCTTGTTTCAAATTTTTCTCTTAATTCTCCATTTTTTTTTTTTACAAAAACAGATATTCATTCACTATACCTAAAGCATGCACTAGAGTCTTTCCTGTAGAACTCTTCTTGATGTCTAATACCCAGCAGTCATATTGACAGGACAATGAATACACAGGGTGTGGACCATCACCTGATTGAATCCTACACAGCAGTACAGGCAGTGTAAACAGAATGGCACTATCCCTTGGGAGATAGATCTAGATGGTAACCTGGGGTGGGGAGTCCTGGGGGCTGCAGTGTTGTGTACTTTATGTGAGTGAAGACTGCACAAAAGTACTTGAGAATATTAATTGAAATAAATATTAAGGTTGTTTTTCAGTATGTTTATTAGGGTGCTATAAAAAGTTATTAAAAGTTATGGTCATTTCTGTAAATAGAGGTTCATAAAACTCAGGAAGCACCCAGAGAGAGAGAAATCAAATCCAACCAGGAAATCTTCTCAGGCTGGAGCTCACATCTCTCCTGAAAGTTGTCTAAAAAGCAGACATCCCTTGGGGATAGCAATCCATGCAGGTGACAATGATATCCACTCATGCCCCTACACACTCACACAGTCATGCTCCAACACATCAACACACTCACACACACTCATGCCCCAACACACATGACCTACACACTCACACACTCATGCTCCAACACATCAACACACTCACACACACTCATGCCCCAACACGCATGACCTGCACACTCACACACTCATGCTCCAACACATCAACACACACACACTCATGCCCTAACATACACCAACTCACTCCCAGTCATGCCCCAACACACACTCATGCCCCAACACACACCAACAACACACACACTCATGTCCCAACACTCAACACACATGCACTCCTGCCCCAACACACACACACTCATGCCCCAACATACACCAACACACTCACACACACTCCTGCCCAACACACACACACTCATGCCCCAACACACACCAACACACTCACACACACTCACGCCCCAACACACACCAACACACACACACTCATGCCCCAACACACACACACTCATGCCCCAACGCACACCAACACACACACTCATGCCCCAAAACCCAACACACACACACACATGCCTCAACACACACCAACACAGATACCCACGCTCTGACACTAACATGCTCACATGCTCATGCCCAACAAACACCAACTGCACAGTCACACACACACTCATGTCCCAATATACCAACACAAACACACTCTCATGCCCCAACACACCAACTACACACTCACATCTATGCCCTGACACACACCAACATACACACTCATGCCCAACACAAGCCAACACACGCTTGCACCCATGCCCTGTTTGCAGGGGCTACCCTCATTAAGGAAGTAAAATAGAAAGCTGGAGCTCTCCTAATGATACCTTGTATTTAAATTATATGCATATTTTCAGAATTTGGAATGCCATTGCTCTTTCCTGCAGACCAAGGATCCACCCAGCACTGGCCTGGCGCCAGGGAATGCACAGTTCATGGGGAGAGACAGCAGCTGCTCACCTTGTGCTGGCTCCGGCGTACCTGCAGAAACTTGTAGGCAAACTCATCTTCCTGGTCCTCATTGAACTGAAACACAGCATACTCCACAGCACTGGCGAAATCCTTCGAGTTCTTATCAATGTCTACAAATTTGCAGCTGCAGACATGGGTTCTCAGCACGATGAGCCCCACAAGCAGGGGCACCTTCCACTGCATAGCTGTCTCCAGAGTTGGCACTGGAGGCCAACTCAGTGGAGGGGAAGGTGGCCACCACCGCTGGTGACACCTTTCCCAGCTCTGACCCCACGTAGCACTGCCTAACAGAGGCGCTGAGCTGCTGAGCCTCCCTTTGACTAGTACTTCTGTCCAGTGCCTCTTTCCACTCCCCCACAGTGTTCTTCCCACTATCTCCAAACTGAAGGCCAGCAGAAGGTCACATAGCCTTGGACCCACAGGCATGTATGCTACACACAAGCCTGCACATTTTCAGGGCCGCCTCTTCTGGCCCTGGTCCAGCCCTGATAAGACTGGGGAGGAGCTCTCAAGCCCACCTGCCTTGCCTTCATGGGGCTGCATCCCAGGACTGGCAGAGTGATGGGAACGCTTAGGAATAATAATGGGCACTGAGTCCTGAGCAGTTAAGGGAAGAGCCATGTCTGCCTGTGACCCTGGCTGCAGTCCATGACCTCAGGGAGCCTCGGGAGGGTACGGGGGGAGGGGCCAGCTTTGGGGGCCGGGATCATCCTCTCCACCCTCTCTGGCACCTGCTAGCCAACTTGCCACGTCCCCCTCCCGCTCTGTGGCCTTGCAATACCTGCTCTCAGCACAGGGGCCAGAAAGAAGCCAAATACAAGGCTAGAGCCCTGCTAGGATGGGTGTGGAAGGCAACCACAAACATGAGAAGGGACCAGGGGCTGGGAGAAGCCGTGGGAGCACTGGCCAATGTGTGTTCTCACCCAGCGCTGCCTCTTTGTAGTCCCCTGGGCCCGCACCAAGCCACCGTGTCAGACTATCCTGAGGGGAACTGATCCGAGCTCTATTTGACTCCTGGGGAAGCCTCTGGGAGGTAAACAGGGCCAGGGGATGAGCAGGTTGGGAGGGTATGGCGGTGCCTGCACCACGTATTAATGCACCAACATGCACAAGGGGGCCCATGCTGGAGCAACTGACCCTACCTTGGCTATGTGGTATGTAGATCGATGATCTCAAAAAATGTCTCAGAACTTGGGCCACTGCCTTGGGGACTGGTAGTAAGGGCAGGACTGGGGGTGGACACAGGAAGAGACGGGACTGTGGCCAGAATGATGAACACAATTATGACCACCTTCTTGCAGCTTCTCAATGGGAGGAGACACAGAGACTCAAGTGCACTTCCACACAGGACTGACCTGAAAGTGGCGAACCGTGGGGGCCTGAGGAGCACAGTGGCCCTGTCAGGTTGATCATGCTCAAAGTGTGCCTGAACCCCCATGTGTCCTCCTGCCAGAGAAGCTGCAGCTCCCAGTTCTTGCTCATCTTTGCCATTCCTGCCAGCGGGCTGATTAAAATGTCTCACTGTTGTCTTCTGAGGTTGGCAGGATCTGTCCTGAGGCCCCTCCTCACTGCTGGTGTGGGTTGTGATCGCTTTCTCCAATTCCAGCTCTCCCTTACCCAGGGTTAGATATTTTATTAGACCTTCAAAAAATTAACTGTTGGATTCCTTGATCCTTTCTGTCAGTCTTTGCTTTCTCTTTCACTCACCTATGCCTTTTTGCTATGATTTTCTTCTTTCTTTTTCACCAGTTCAGTTTACACTTCTTTGATTCTTGACATTGAAAGGGAGGTCATCAGTTGCATCTTGTTCATTCTGTAGCATGTGCATTTTCAGATCTGGAGGTGACCCTCAAAGCATGGTATCGGCAGCATCCGATATGTTCTAGCATGTGCATTTCCAGATCTGGAGGCAACCCTCAGAGCATGCCATCAGCAGCATCCCATAAGTTTGCTACTCAGGTTTCAATTCCAGTGTTTTAAAAGTGCAGCCTAATCTGCACTGGGATTACTTCTTTAGTCCATGTGTTCTTTACAGGCGTGTAGCTGAATTTTCAAATATTTCTGTCCTTAATTTCTACCTAAATTTCACAGAGAACATATTCTATGTGATTGAAATTCATTAAGAATATGTTCAATTGTGATAAATATTCTATCAGGTGAAAAAAATGAATGTTCTCCAGTTGTTGGGTGATATTCTGTATAACAAAGATCAAATATGTTTAGTGAGCTCTTAAATTTCTTGAGCCTCGTCTGAGTTTTACTTGGTGGGTTCTGCAGTTCTTAAGAGAGGTGCCTGAAACGTTCCCATGAGGATGATGGGGCTGCTGGTTTTTCTTCTAGCCCTGCAATGTGTCTTTTTATATACTTTTAGGCTGTGTAAGAGTGGGCACCACAGATAGAACTGTTGTAAATTCAATAATTGAGCAAAACTGTGCCCTTTAGTTTCCAAAAGGCCATGTTTCTAATTTCATAAAATCGGAAGAGAGAGAGACCACAGTCAGAATTGGTCATGCCTATTTTCACCATGGTGCCCAACTAGAGGCTCATGAGAATCATCAGAGGAAACTTCCAAATAACCCAGCATCTAAGCCCAAATGTTAAAGAGTGTGGCATGAACACTGAATGCCGCCTGGTGCACTTAAGTGCATCTGACCTCAAATCATAACTTTAAATTGAAAAAGAGCGGGACACCAGGCCTTGCTTGTGAACTGGGAATTGAAGGTAAAGGTGCTTCCATCAGTAAGCAATGCTGACCAGAACCCACTGTGCTTGTCTAGAACAGTGGGCATGAGGTCCATCAACAAGGGCTCCACCCCTTGCGGCCTGAGTGCTCTCAAAACCAAGGGTCAGCAATAGATTGGTTTCGTTGACCATACAGACACACTCTTGGTGATATAAATATGTCCTGTCAAATTGTGAGGGGATGTTACAAATCCTGCACACAGGTGGATCAAAGGACCAAAGCTGCCTCATCTTTTTACCGTGACAGATGGAGCTTCCCAGAGCTGTTTCTGAAAATTCTGTCCCATCAACCCTTATGGCAAATTCATGGGAATGAGCCAGACAGGAAAAACGCAGACTTCCTACCAAGAAATATTCAAATCAAAGTTCCCAAAACCTAGGATAGAGGAGCACTTCAGGTCTGAAAGACTCCTCCAGAGGGCTTTGCATTGCCTTTCTGGCCCATCCATGTACCCCCTCCCCCCAAACCCTCATCTCTCTGCCCCTCCAAGGCTGCTCTCCTACCAAGACCCCAGCAGAGAAGCTTGCTCATCAGGATGGGTGTCTGTCACCACGGTGCCTCTCCCAGAGACAGTGAGTGGTGCCGACAGACATGAAGGCCGGGCTGAGTCCCAGCTGGGGAACCTATGCACCAGATGGGGCATGAGGGACATGGGGACTGGAGCTGTCATCCTCTGAGCTGCCATCTGAACCCTAAAGAAGACATCCCTCAGTGTCCACAGAGGGCAGAGCCTCATGTCAGCTTCAGTGACCATCTCTGACCCCTGGGCCTGGGCTTGGCCCCTCTGCAGAAGAGCCACCCTCTGTAAGCCTGTTCCTGAGATGGAAACAGAAGGGTCATGTGTGGTTAACAAAATTGTCTGCATTCCTTTTGAGTAGATGGATGATGGCATAGAGAAAGGGAAGAAAGAATGAATGAATGAGTGCATAAATAAATGAAGGAACAGATGGATGGATGGATGGATGGATGGATGGATGGATGGATGGATGGATGGATGGATACACCAACCAACTGGCAGAGGGATCCTACATGAACTGCCTCAAGTCAACTGGGGAGTTTTGTTTATTCAACACTCTGCACCTGCAGCCAAGGTAACAATGATAATGAATTCTCCTTTGCTTATCACTGCCAGCAACATTCGTGGCAAATAAATAATAGGAAAGAGTGCAAAACTGTTCACAGACCCAGAAGTAGTTAAGATGCCTTTAATTCTGCTAGTGCAGCATAGGCCTAGAACTACAAACTTTCATACTGTAGAGGAAGAGATGACTTCTGCTGCGAAAAATCAGGGGCTCTGCCACTACCTGTTTCCACATTACAGGTGATGTTTAGGAGGTTGAACTGGGAAAACCAAGGTCAGGCATCCATGACAAATGTGCAGTGCACCTGAAAACAAAATAAGTATAACATACAAATCAGAAAAATGTAATGCATCGAGAGCATTTAGCATGTAGTAGGGGGTCAAGATGTATTTAAAAACTACAAAAAATGAAAAACAAAAACAGTCACCCAGGAACGGGGCTTGAAATGCCCAAGCCTCCACCAGGACAAGGGGCGCAGGTGGCTGAATGCTCCCACCTGAGCCTGGGGATTCCTGAAAGCATGCCTGGTTGGGCCATCACCTGACCCCTGAAGCATCCTGTCCACTCACAATCTCCCTAGCACACATGATGCTGGATGAACAGCTCTCACCTTGTGTGTTCTGGGGGAGAGAACAGACTTCCCAAGGGATGATCCTTCTGGGTGCCCACCAACTGAGCACAGCAGTTGACAGCAAGGCTACAGATGGAAGGGCGAGACCAGCCCTGCTGCTCCTGTAACTGATTCAGGGCATCCTCAAGTTCTGAGCTCACATGGGTCATGGGAGGATGGTGACAGAACTCACATGGGAGGATGGTGACAGAACTCAGACTGACTAGGACACATCCTTACAACACAGGAACTAGAGGGACAGGTTGAGCGACCAGAGAAACTAGACAGTCCTCCAATCCCCAAGAACAAAAGAAGAGTGAGGACCACAGGGAGAACATCATCTGCCTGGATCTCGAGGGTCTCAGGAAGGTACAGGGCTGGGAAGCAAAGTGAGAGCTTCATCCGGGGACAGAGGCCATGTAGAATCTGCAGGTGCCTGCTATGTCCAGCCAGCCGTGCTGTAGGCAGAGGGCTCTCCCTGGCACTGAGGCCAGGCTCTGTCTGCTTACATGCCAGCCTTCTGCCTTCACTGAGGGAGCCCTGACACCAGGTGGGAGAGGGCCAGGGACCCTCATTCTGCCCCAGGATCACCTCTGATGGCCTTTCTAAGCCTCCTCGCAAAGGTCCACCTTGATATTATTATCCATTCCTGAGAGATTCATGATGCTTTGGGGTTGATTTTATTCTCAGACCTTTTTCTCTCCTGAGCCTTCTTGCAATGGTCAATGTCAATGTCTTCATCATAGTT